AGGTAATGTTTCAGTTCTTGTTCTGGGCACTGGTTATATGGATGTATTCAACTTCTGAAATTTTATTGCGCTTTACACTTTATTCTACACATGCACTTTTCTTTATGCATAATACACACTAAAACAGTGTAAACAAGCCTGTAGGGAAACACATTCAACGTACAATAAACATAAACAGCAAGAGCTTCCATTCAAGAAAGACAGAGAATGGAAAACATGGTATTCTGGTCAGCAATTCACATCCAATCCTCCCAAATAAATAGCAGAGTTTCTTCCCTGGCAGTATATTAAGCTCTTACAGGAGAATCTGGAAGCCCCCACTCTTATTCCATCTTCTGACTGTGTAGAGCACACACCTGCTGCATCCCGCACCCACTGGACAGAATTCTGGGGTTTGGATATTGCCAAAGGGTTGAGCAGCCACAGAGAGCTGTTGAACAGGCTTGAGATTTTGGACATACATGATTCCTTCAATCATTTATTAGATATCTGGTCAATTCCATGTACAAGTCTCCACAATAAAATAGCTTACCTAAAGAGTCTTGAAGTTGCTTTTTATTAATATTTCAATTTAATTTTTTCAAATGTGAGCAGACAGGCGACAAAAGACATGTTCTACAATATTCAACATAGCATTATTTGTAATATCCTACAACTGGAAATTTCTCCAGGTGTACATTTATATAGTTTTAAACATTCAAAGCAACACTAACAGTTGTAAATTGAAGTATTATTTTTATCCCATTCTCATCTACCCTGGAACCCCCTCCATAGGCAAAACATCATGTAAAAATATTTTATTATTTTTATTTTGTGTATGAGTGTATTGCCTGCATGTATGTGAGTGCACCCGTGTCATGCAGTGCTGGGGGTAAGAAGAGGGCAAAACATCATTTTTTTTGTCTTTTTGAGAGGGATAGCACAACCTTTAAAGGCTAAGGCTAACAACCAAAATGTAAGACATCGTTTTTATGCAGCTCAAAATATCACTTGAAGAAAGAGATACCACCTAGAATCCATTTTGCAACCCGGGGCCTCAATCCTTCCTCCTAATAAAGATCCCCCCCCCACTTGTGTTGATTCAAACTTAGGCACACAAAGGAAATGGGGTCATTTGAATCCAGCAGCAAGACTCCCAGTTATGGGACTCTTGGCCAATTTAGTTTACAGGCTACAGAAGAGATCCTCTTTTCTTTAATCTGTGCTTTCAAATTCAGTTTTTTCTAACCTATGTTTGCCATTCCTTTGAAGAACTTTGTGAAAGCTACTAAGAAAGTCAATGCTCAACTGGCCATGGTGGTACACATCTTTAGTCCTAACACTCAGGAGGCAGAGGCAGATAGATCTCTGTGAGTTCAAGGAAAGTTTGGTATATATAAGACCTTGTCTCTCAGTGAAAACAACACTCACTAATGTTCCCCTAGAAAACAACTATGGTTGGCATGTAGTCTATTTCCAAGGTCCAGGAAGTGACAGCCAATAGTTTCACTATTGTTAAAAAAAAGAAGTTACAGCCGGTGTGGTGGCACACGCCTGTAGTCCCAGCACTTGGGAGGCAGAGGCAGGCGATCTCTGTGAGTTCAAGGCCAGCCTGGTCTACATAGTGAGTTCCAGGACAGCTAGGACTACAGGGAGACCCTGCTTCAAAAAGACAAAAAAAAAAAAAAAAAAAAGATATTAACTCTCCAGTTTGGAATAGAGGCTCTTCACCATTAACTCCCTTAATCTCCGATTGGAGTCATCTACAAGTTATTGAACACCTGCTTGGAAAGGACTTAAACAGAGGCGTTCTCTCTCATGGACCCATCTTGGGCAAAGAAGCAGTTGGGGAGCTGTCTCTGGGGCTTTCACAATGGATGATGGAGTAGAATTATAAGAGAGTAGTAGAGCAGGAGGGAGTAAAAACAAAACAAAGAACAAGCTAATATTTTGATAGCACACAATTTGCTGACAGATGGTTATAAAGATTATAGATGGAATACGAAAAATCAGGAAAAGCTCCAAGAATTTCGGCTTGAATAACTGAATGGATCACAGTGACATTATTAAAATGCACAAGACTGAGAGAGAAGCAGGGCTGAGCGTGACAATTAAGATTTTAGCAGGTCTTGTTAAGTTTGAGAAGCCAGTTAGACATTCATATGGAGATGTCAAGGAGACAGCTATTTGGAAGTTAGTAATCACAAGGAACGGTGATCCCTAGAGAAATAAGTATTGGGGTCTAGGAAGATGGCTCAGTTGGTAAAGTGCCTGCCACACAAGCAAGAGGACCTGACCTTGGATGACCAGCCCCATATAAAAGCTGAGCGTGCCTCAAGTGTCTGTAATTACAGTGTTGTGGGGCAGGGTGGAAGGAAGGAGCAGAAGGCAGAGACAGCAGGATCCCGGGAACTCATTGGCATGTCAGACTAGTCAAATCAATCTCCAGATTCAGTGAGAGATAGAGGAAGAAACCCTACATAATCCTCTGGCCTCCACACATATGCACACACTGTGTGCAAGAACACCTGCATAAACATGTAAAAATACAACTACACAAGCACACACAGTTTTTGGAGTCGTCTGCATATAATTGGTATCTGAAACACAGATGAACTCACACAATGTAGATAGATAAAGCTGCTCAGAATAGAAACCTTGGCACTTCAATATTTATACATTGAGCAGAGGATGGAAAGCCAGTAAAAGAGCCCAAGAAAAAGACAGCCAGTCAGGAGAACCAGAGTATGATGTCAGAAAACAAAGGAAAGTACTTCAAAATGGGAGTGGTTGACTGTAATGAATAGTGTTGAGAAAGCAAGCAAGAAAAAAACAACAAAATAACAGATCAAAGAAGAGACTGCTCCATTTGTACTGAGATGGCAGTTTCAGCAGCACCTGGGGAAGAACCAGAGGCAGAGAACGGTCAGGTAGAGAGAGAAGACTAAAGATAGCATCTATAGGAAAGTGAAAGTGCCTGGCTTGGTGGTGAAGGTACCTATAGGCCAGGTCTTGGGAAGAGGATTAGGAGTTCAGGCTATCCTTGGCTACATAGTAAGTTCAAGGCTAGCCTGAGCCACATGAAACCCTGCCTTGAAAAACAGAAAAACGGGGGGGCTGGAGGGATGGCCCAGTGGTTAAGAACACTGGTTGTTCTCCCAGCACCCACATGGCAGCTAACAACTGTCCGAACTCCAGTTCCAGAGGATCCAATGGCATTGCACGACATGGGTGCACTTACCTACATGCAGGCAATACACTCATATACAAAAAATAAAAATAATAAACAAAACAAAACAAAACAAAAAAAAAACCAGAAAAACGGGCTGGAGAGATGGCTCAGCAGTTAAGAGCACTGACTGCTCTTGCAGAGGACCCAGGTTTGTTTCCCAAACCCACATGGTGGTTAACAACCATTTGCAACTCCAGTTCAGGGTACCTGATGCCCTCTTCTGACCTCCGTGGGCATTGCACAATAGGGGTGCACCTTTACACACATGCAGGCAATACACTCATACACATAAAAGTAGTAAGTTTTTTTTTTTTTTTGGTCTTTTTGAGACAGGGTCTCCCTGTAGCCCCAGCTGTCCTGGAACTCACTATGTAGACCAGGCTGGCATTGAACTCACAGAGATCCGCCTGCCTCTGCCTCCTGAGTGCTGGGATTAAAGGTGTGTGCCACCACACCCAGCGTAGTATTTTTAAAAAATGGAAAATGATTTTTTTTCAAAAATGGAAGCATTGGTTAAAAACAATGAGGACATCATTCATTTACCAGATACAGGGCTTCTTAAAGGAAGATACCAGGAATTATCTGTATTTGTAGTTCCTAGGGCAATGCCTCATAAGCAGAAGGTATTCAACTGGGATATAATGAACATATGGGTGGATAGATGGATGGCAGGTGGAGGTTACCCATAATGAACTAGATCAAACTAACCCAAACTTCGGAATGAGATAGGATATTGAGATAATACCGTTCCGTAGGAACTTAGGGACCCTGGGATCCCATCCTACACACACACACACACACACACACACACACACACACACGCACGCACGCACGCACGCACGCACACGCGCATGGGATAAGGTTGATGTTTCAATCTTGGATGAAGGTGGGAAATTGAGAAAAAAATTGTACCAGACAATTTTCAATGCACTGAAAGGGCTTGGGGATCATCTCCCTACATAATTTTCTGACTCTCCCCCTTTTGATCCAGTCGCATATGAAAAACGAGTATGTATCTTTAAGGATACAAACCGGAGAAGGGATTTTAAAAATTACAGTCCTATACTCACTCATATATCCCTCCAGTCTACAGATATTCACTGAACGACAATCTCGTGTAGGAGCAAAGGGTAGACCACGCAGGGGGGTTATCTGATCATTTTAGTTTTAGTTTGTTTTTTGAGATAGGGTCTCCCTGTAGCCCCAGCTGGCCTGGAACTCACAGAGTTCCTGCCTCTGCCTCCCGAATGCTGAAATTAAAGTCGTGCGCCACCTCGCCCGGCTGATCATTTTTGAAAGTACTGTTTACTCTCGAATAATAAAAGCAGCTGATTTTAAGAACTTCAGGAACTGGGCGCCCATAGGGTCTCGGAGGGGCTTGTGAGCGAATGGGTACCGAGGATGAAGCGGCTATAGGAATGGAGCGCACAGAAAATTTGGGAAACGCAGGACCCCCAGCCCGGAGGCGTCTTCCAGCTGTTTCATTAGGACAGGAGTCGTGGTGGTGGCGGGGTGGGGGGCGGGGGGTGTCTTTCTTCCCAATTTGTAGTCCGAGGTACCGAGGGACAAGCGAAAAGCAAGGAAGAGGCGGGGCCCAGCTCCGGAGCCCGCCCCATCCGGATCCTCCAGCTTACGTCGAAGCACGTTCCAACGTTCCGGGGCTTCCGGGGTTGCCTTGCAACCTGCGGGCCGGGCCGCTGGGGCTCCCAGAGGCCCCACCTACCGGGTCAGGAGGCGGCTCTGCAGCGCCAGCCGCCCAAGACTCGTGGATTCACGCAAGCCGGCCGCGCAGGGGGCGGGGGCCGACGAACCCGCGGGAGTGTCTGAGGCGGTGCGCTTGCGCAACTGGTCGGGGGCGGGCCGGCGTACCCCGAGGAAGCGTCCTGGGGACGGGGGCTGGAGAGGCTCAAGCTGGAGGGCTTCGCGTCTTCGGCGGGGATCCGGAGGGTGAGTGAACTCGCGTGTGCGAGGCCGGACTCTAGAGGTTGGGGTCAGTGGGCGACACCGCGGCGTCCGCAGCGGGGCGGGATCCCTGGGATCTTGGGGTTCAGGATGGGAAGCAGGCACGGCAGGGTGGAGGGCTCGGTGCCCCCGGATGGAGCGGGGCCTGTCCGCCGAGGGGCCTTCCGAGCCAGACTGGTCCGGTCGGCTTGATTCGGGTGCGCTTGGCTGGCCTCTGGGGGTCTCGCGGCCAGACTGTGGGGCCAGCTGGGATCAGTATCCAACTAATGGTATATACCTGGCCCCAAAGCAGGGGCGCTCTCCGTCTGCTCCTGCCTCCCCTATCTTCCTCAGGGCGGACCCACAGGTCCTGTATGGCCGTCCGGGTTGGCTAGCTGAGCCTGGGCGGAGTGGGCAGGCAGAGGATGCTCGTTTCTCTTGTTTTTCCTCTTAGGGGCTTGGTACCGCCATCCACACAGATGTGCGTCCCAGAAGCCTGGGCGTCCTTCTCACCTGCACTCCTTAACTTAATCGAATCCATTCAGAGCTGTCTTTGGATACCTGACTTCCTGACACCCTTCTGTCTTAACTGATTCAGGCTCCTCCTGACTAATTTCTGAGCCTGTCCAGTTCATCAGTACAGAGAAGTTAGAGACATGGTCTTGAAACAGAAATCTCCATCCCCTTGCCCTTCTGTGGACTCCTATATATAGCTCTTCCAAGCTCTTGCACAGGGCTTGCAAAGCCCCTTGTGACCTGTCCTCTTTATACTTAAGACCGGTCCTTCCCCAACTGATTGAATCTTCTGGTTCCTAGATTGGACACAAGTTCTTTTTGAGTTTAGGTGTTGTTCATTGCTGTGAGTTTCTTCCACGAGAGGCACCATTCTTTGATTGAAATAATCCTTCTTATGCTTTATATGTTATTCCAAGTGTGAGTGAGGGCTTGTGTGGTACTCTGGGTTTCTCTGTAGTGCCTCTCTTTTTCCATATAGCTAGGATCTGTGTGAGAGGAGTCAGCCAGGATCATAGTCAGGTTCTGCTTTTTGTTTGTTACCAGGCTGCTAGTTAAATTTCTAAGGGAAGTATGGTTTTTCTTTGAGTTTTCCTAATAGATCAAGCTGTTTAAATGTCAGGACCAGTTCTCATCCTTTGGTTCCTTTAGCCTAGGAACTTGGTTATTGGTTGCTTTTACTTCAAGACCATGGCAGTGGCAAATGGGGAAGTAACTGGCCACAATTTCCTTTGGCATTGGCTCTGGGAACAGGATATCTGGATGTTGGCGAATGTAGTTGGTTTGAATGTGAATTCTTAACTAAGAGCCCTTGATTGTACAGAAAAACTGCCAGCAGCTGCTAGGAGGAAAGTTCATTTATTGATAGGAGTAATGACACAATGAGAGGGAAGGGTGGGCCAGGTCAAACCTGGAGTGGGAAGGCTCCAAAGGGAACTTCCAGCCAGAGCCTTTGTGATAAGGAACAGTACACCAGAAGTGCCAGGACTGCCAGGACTCAATGCTCTGATTCAGACCATGCTACCCCTAGGTCACCTCTGTGGTGTAAGTGAGAGAAGAGCAGACCAAGTCCTGGCCTTCCCGAAAAGGGCAGAAAAGAGAAAAATAGAAAAGAAGGAACCGTATGTTACCACATTGGTAAGGGTAAATGATTTGAGACTGCAGATTGAGGTTAAACAAGGAAGTAAGTAGTATTAGCTAGCCTTGAGTCCTCAGGCCACATTTGAACTGGGCCTAGAAGGAATGGCCAGATGGAGTCAGTGGGAGCAGAGGCTGTGGGACAGGAAGAGGCTGCTGGAGCAGTGAGAGGAGCTTGGTTGGAGTCAAGGCTCTGGAGGAGGTCCAGCTTCTCCCTCTCAGGACTGATGCTGCTCCTGTGATGAGCTTGAAGGCATGAGTTGTGTGTCTCTCCCAAAGCCTCACATTCTGTCAAAAACTGTGACCCTCTCCCAGAGAGGAGAACTGTTCTTCTGTCAAGAGTATATACCATTAGTTGAGCTTCCCTGCAAACAAGCTCTCAAGATCCATTTATAGGAGAGTGTAGGGTAATCAAATTTCTCGGCACATCAAAATGAGGCTCATGGAAGTATGCCTTTCTTTTGGGTGGGGGGAGCTTTTTGAGACAGGGTCTCCCTGTAGCCCTAGCTGGCCTGGAACTCACTATGTAGACCAGGCTGGCCTCGAGCTCACAGTGATATGCCTGCCTCTGCCTCCTGAGTGCTGGGATTATAGGCATGCAACACCATGGCTGGATGGAAGTCTGCCTTTCTTTAGAAAAGAAAAAAAAACAAAACAAGAAATAAGTAAATAAATCTTGCCTCCCTTGAATTTTTCTCTAGCCTGGCCCTCACAGTTTCCCGAAAGCCAGTGAGCTGGGGAACACTTATCTTCCAGGCTGTGTGCCCATGGCCGTGAGCTAAGTAGCTGGAGTGTGGATGATGCAACTTGTTCTTTGGGCAGAGTGGAGTACTTTGTTAATCTGTCAAATGGCGTTCGTTCCCTGCTATCATCGCAGCACTGGGGGATTTGCTTTACATGTACATAGATTTGGCATTTGTTGTGTTTCAATGATTAGAAACCTATAGCAGTAAACTCAGTGCTTTTTGGTTTTTATGCTGTCTCCCTTGAGGAAAGGATAATCTGGACTCACAGTTCCTGTACTGATCACTTGGTTACTTTTTGGTATTACCTGAGTAGAGAAACATCTTATACATACACATCCCAACTGAATAAGCATCCAACCATGTAGTTACAGGAAGATGTGCCACAGGTTCAGTCATCACTCAGCTCAGCTGACTGATAGACACCCCCTAAGTTCTACCCACAATTACATTGACATCAGAACTTGGCTTTGGGTTGGGGAGATGGCCCAGTGGGTAAACCGCTTGCTGCTTGAGGACTGGAGTTCTGATATCCAGCACCCACATAAATGATAGGTGAGTGTGGTAACTGCCTGTAATCCCAGTGGGTGGAATATGGCAACAGCATTCCTGGGGCAAGCTGGCTAGCTAGAGTAGTTGAATCAGGGAACTCTGGGTTCTCAGATCCTATCTCAGTATATAAGGTAGAGAATAATGGAGGACAGCATCCAAAATCAACTGGCTTCCACACATGTGCACACACATGTATGTTCCCTGCCCCTACATACATGTGTAAAACAGGAATAATAATAATAAAAAATCCCAAAACTTGGCTGCCTATCTGTAGTAACCCCCCCAGTCTCCCAAAGACCTGTATTGCTCCAGGCAGTGGTGCCCTCTACTGGGACTGTTTTCCCATTGCCAGTCCAGAAGGGCAGCTTCCGAGATTAGGTCCACATCTATCATCAGTGGCAGACAGGAACCTAATATATGGGAAGGACACTTAAGCTGGACTTGGGGGCTTGCTAGAAGTTGGGCTTGGTAGCACATACCTGCAATCCCAGCACTTAGAGGGAGAGAGGCAGGAGGATCATGAGTTCAAGGCCAGTGTGTGATATATAATGAGAGTCTGTCTCTAAATAAAACAACAAACAAGGGAAAGAAACCAAAACAATGTGATGACTGAAGAAAAACGGATGTAAATGAGACAGGCAAGGAAGGAGCTGTCTTCCTTTTCTGTTCCCTCCTACTATAAAACTCTTAAGATGTGGGCTCAGAACAAGTGTTCTCTGGCCTGGGTTATGTAGTGAATTTGGCATAGTCACTGCTAGGAATAACAGGCCTGTGTTCTGTACTAGGTACAGAAGTAATAATCTTGTCAGGTCTGAATGCTTACCTGGTTAAATTGTAAGTATGCCTTCTGCTCCTGAATTACTTTCTGGAGATAAGAATTAACTGGAAGCTATCATCCTTGTAGTATTAGAACAGGATTATGGGAGAGATTAAATATATAGATGTAAAAAATGCATTTATAGTAGACATTTTGAGATATAGTAGAAAAGTAAAAGGAAAAATCACAATCACTCCTAAGCACGTAACTCAGCAGTCTTTGTTAACAGTATATATGTGTAAAGCTTTATTTTACAAAAGGGAATTATGGGTAGACTTTTGCAGCCTGCTTTTTCTTTTCTTTCTTTCTTTTTTTTTTTGAGACAGGGTCTTCCTGTAGCCCCAGCTGGCATGGGACTTACTGTGTAGACCAGGCTGACCTAATACTCAGAGATCCTCCTGCTTCTGTCTTCCAATCCTGGGATTAAAGGTGTGAGCTACCACACCCGGCTGCAGCCTGCTTTTTTATTTTATCGTATTAGAATAGTCTTTCAGTATGACAGATTGCATTATGATGTCACTGTGCAGTAGTCAGGCTAGATGCTGCTTTTTAGCACCTTGAGAGTTACACTGTAATCCTGTCAGGAGGATGGATATAGAGAGAGACACAAAATAGGTTGAGATTTTTCTATGTGTCACAGGATGGTATAGTCTTAGGCCCTCCCTAAGAGCATTTTAAGATGGGCGAGGGGCTGTACCACCTCTGCTTTCCAGCCCCTGGTATGGGGAGGAGACAATGGTCATTTCAGAGCTGTGCTCGGAGTTCAGAGTGTGTCGATGAGGAACTGGTACTCTATGCTGTATCTTTACTGCTGTAGGTTTGGGGCCAGGCTACTATCAGTCCCTTAGGAAACACTGGCCCTTGTCATCTGTCAGAATTGGCTCTGCCTTTTGAGAGTGTTAGCCAGGATTTTTTAGTTTTTATTTGTAAGTCCTGAGCTGTCCTTCGCCTTACATTTTGAATGGACTCTCTAAGCCTAAGAAGGACAGGATTTAACATTGAAACAACACTTAGTTAAGGCCTACCTGAGCTTTGCTGGCAATAGTGATGTATAAAGTAGTCTTGGCCCTCGGGAAGCTTGTTGGATGCCTGAATTGTTTGGGTGACCCCAATTCCCAGGATCTTGAGGCTAGTACCTGAATTTCTCTGTAACTTTCCTTTCCAATGTGCTCATTGTGGTTAAGTGACTAGCTACTCCTGGCCCTGGCGGTGGACGAGGCAGGAAGAAGTAAGGTCCTTTTCTCCACATCACTGCTCTGAGGTGATGTGACCAGCCTGATTGCTTCCCTTAGCTCCTGTGGTCCTGTCTCCTGTCCTGCCTCACTCCATCCATCCCGGCTGAGCTGCTAGGTGAGTCAGCCCAAAGCCAAGCTGTGATCTCATCTCCTGTCATGAGTCATCAGTTGCTCTCCACTGCCCTCGGGAAATGTGAGCCTCTTTGCTCAACGTGCACAGCCTGTCTACCTCTGCACCTGTCCATTGTTCTTGATGCCTACCCTCTGAGAGATTGAGCTTCCCAGACTTCTTGCTCCCCTATACCTGCGCCTACTCTGCTGCTGCTGTCCCCTCAGATCCCTAGGTCTTGCCATCTGCCTGGCCTAGCTGAAACACCACCATGTCTTCAGCCTTCTCTGATTTTCTTTTACTCAAGGAAATTTCTTTTTGTGAACTCCCAGAGAGTTTGTCTTTTATGAAAACACTATACTTTTGTTGTACTCCTAGTAGGAAGCATTTCTCTCTGTGGGCTCTCAGTTTATAGGCAGGACTAGATTTTGAATCTCATTAAGCACTTGGAGAGCTGCTTGGCCCTCTGAAGGTCCTTCAGGAAACATTGTGAGCTCTTACTCTCCATATCAGTGATGGAACCAGGAGAGCTAGTGGTAGGGGTGGACTTTTTCATGGCACTGGGGATGGAATTCAGAACCTTGTGCAGGCTAGGTAAGTACACCACTGAGCTCCAGCTGCAGTCGCACAGAGCTGAGCCCAATTCAGAGTGCTCTCACCCCCAACCTCATTGCCTCAGGTTCCAGGAGCATACACTGTCAGACCTTAGAGAAACTTTAGCTCTAGTGCTCTTCTATGTTCTCTACCTTCCAGATACTGTGAACATGACATCACTGTGGCTGCTGAGAGCCCCCTTTCTGTGTGGCCTGCTCTGGGCCTTTTGTGCTCCAGGTGCCAGGGCACAGGACGTCGGGGATGGTGTCCCCCATCATGGCAGTGTGGGCCTGGACAAGAACACAGTACATGACCAAGAGTAAGTATTCAGCTGGGGCTGGGCTTCAGGGGCCCTATCAATGACAACTACAGACTTTGTCTTCTCTTCTATGGCTCCTGGACATTTTTCAAGGAAGCTGTTTACCCCTCAGGGTCTCCTAGTGGTCAGGTATTCTTCCTTTATCATTTCGCCAGTGGACGGTACCAAGTATAGTGAATTATTTGTTGGAATTCAGTCTTCACTTAAAAAAAAATTTTTTTTTTTACTTCTGTGTTTTTATTTTATGTGTATGAGTGTTTTGGTTGCATGTATGTAAGTACACTTGTGTTGTACAACATTCTTGGAGGCCAGAAGAAAGCATCAAATCCCCTGGAACTGAAGTTACAGGTGTTTGTAAGCTGCCATATGGGTGTTGGGAACTGAACCTGGATCCTCTGCAAGAGTAGCCAGTGCTCTTAACCATTGAGCCATCTCTCTAGACCCCAGTCTTCCTATTTAACTACAGAAGAGGAATAGAATCTTGACTCTGACAAGACCTTTTTTTTGTCTTTTTGAGACAGGGTCTCCTTGTAGTCCCAGCCGTCCTGGAACTCACTATGTAGACTAGGCTGGCCATGAACTCACAAAGATCCGCCTGCCTCTGCCTCCCAAGTGCTGGGATTAAAGGCATGTGTCACCATGCCCAGCTCTTTTTTTCTCAAAGTCACATTCAAATGCTGGCCTCACAAATACTTTGTTATCTTTGGATTTTGGGGTTTTTAAATTTTATTATTTTATGTATATAAATGTATTGTCTGCATGTGTGTAAGTGTACCCATGCCTTGCAATACCTGAGGAGGTCAGAAGAGGGTGTCGATTCCCCAGACCTGGAGCTATGGACAGTTTTTAGCTGCCATATGGATGTTGGGAACCAAACACCAGTCCTCTGCAAGAGCAGCCAATACTCTTAACCATTGAGCCATCTCTCCAGCCCTTATCCTTGATTTTTAAATAAAAAAAAATTTAACAGGCAGCCCCCAAACGTAATAATAAAGAGGAGAAAGCACCCTCCATCCTGCCTGGGCAGCAGATAGGCTGCTTAGCCCCTACTCTTTTCATGACCTGGTCTGTGCTTCATCCTTGAATGTGGTCTGTTTCTGAGCTGCGTAAAAGTTATGATCTTGAACTCTTCAGAGTTCTTAAGGTTTTGGCATGATCTGACTTGGTTTTTAGGCATATCATGGAACATCTAGAAGGTGTCATCAACAAACCAGAAGCAGAGATGTCTCCACAAGAACTGCAGCTCCATTATTTCAAAATGCATGATTATGATGGCAATAACTTGCTTGACGGCTTAGAACTCTCCACAGCCATCACGCATGTCCATAAGGAGGTAGGTCAGGTAGGGGGCTATGTCTGGGCAAGCCTCCCTTTGGTAGTTTGAGGCCCAGTCTTGGTGACCTGTGCTATCCTTGGGCCTCAGCAGGGCTGCTGCTCCTCTCTTTGCTGGCTGTGCTGCTGTGCCTCTTCTCTTCAGTGGTCCTTCCCTCCGGGAAAGCTAAACCAGAGGCCCAGAGTTGGGCATTTGTGTCTTTAGCTAAGGTTTTAGTATTTTTAATACAACCTGAGTTTGAGGGTCAGGCTTAAAAAGACAGGCCCTGTTGACAATGCAGAGTGGGAGGAAAGGTTATTTCATTTGAGAAGAATAGTGCATCAGGGCCAAGGGCTGGAGGGCTTTGGAAGCAGTTGGGGCTTGTATGGTGCTTCCTAGTGTCCTAAGCACTCTCAAGTGATAGAGCTCTCCTCGGCTCTACAGCAGTCTGTGTTGGCAGGGCAGACACCGTTACTACTCCCACCTGTGGGTGAAGAAACTGAAATCAAGATCCTGTGCCTCCAAGATTTAATGTCATCCCCTCTGCTACAGGGCCTGAGAGAAAGCCAGGCAAAGTTGGTGATTTGTGGGATCCTGTGAGCTGGTAGGAGTGCAGGGTGGGATTTTTCTACTACTGTAGGCAGTAAGGGCACTAGCAGTTTTAGACTGGAGAAGGACATTGTTTGGGGGGATCCTGTGCTGTTGGAGACAGACAGATGACCCAAATGTGAGACTAATGCCAGGGAGAGGAGCTAGGATCTAGCCCTCCTGGCAGACGAGGATGGTGGTGGCCATAGAGATACAGAAAACATTAGATGTGGTGAAGGAAGAGTCAGCCAGGTATGTGAATGGCCAGTTTCGCACCTGGCACAGTGAACCCTGCTACAGAGGCTTCTAGAACAGGACTGTAATTTCTTCTCAAAGATCCTAAGTGTTAATGATTGACAGTGCCACCTTCTTTTACATATATATTGATCTTTTTGAGACAGGGTCTCCCTGTAGCCCCAGCTGCCCTGGAACTCACTATATAGACCAGATTGGCCTTGAACTCACACAGATGCGCCTGCTTCTGCCTCCCAAGTGCTGGGATTAAAGGCGTGCATCACCATACCCAGCTTATTTATTATTTTTATTTTATGTGTATGAGGGTATTGCTTGCATGTGTATTAAGTGCACCTGTGTTGTACAACGGTGCCTCCTCTTGTTCTGATTTTTATGTCACTGTTCCTACTTTATTGGTGAATTGTGCAGTGAGCTGACCCTCAGGATGGCTCAGACTGTGAGCTTTTTTCTCTAGGGCATATAGTCTATATAGGACATAGACTCTGTTTTGTTTTGTTTTTTGTCCTTTTTTTTTTGTCTTTTTGAGACAGAGTCTCCCTGTAGCCCCAGCTGACCTGGAGCTTGCTTTGGAAACCAGGGTGCCCTTGATCTTACAGAGATCTCCCTGCCTCTGCCCCCTGAATGCTGGGACTGAAAGCATGCACCACCTTCCCTACCCTACCTCCACCCCTGCTGGCTTGGGTCATAGACTGAACTTACAGTTCTTAAGCTAAACCCAGCTTTCTGCATTGACTGTATGTTACTTTAGAAATTAAAACAGTAATTTTTCAAACAAAGAAGCAAGGGCTTGTTTTGATTACATCTTTTAATTGGCAAATGTAGTTTCTACCTTGGGTTTTTCTCAGTTTATTCTATCTTAACATATACATTTGTGGACTTCAAGAAGTAGGGATATATTACATTGAAAGTTTCTAGACATTTTAGACATTAGCTAAGCACCCCTTTGTAATTCTGTGAATTTTAAAAAATGTATTATTTGTCTCATTTATTTATTTGTAGGAGGGGAATGAACAGGCACCAGTAATGAGCGAAGATGAGCTGATTAGCATAATAGATGGCGTTTTGAGAGATGATGACAAGAACAATGATGGCTACATCGACTATGCAGAGTTTGCAAAGTCACTGCAGTAGACTTATGTGACTATCTCTTAGTTATATGCAAATGTGACCCATGATAATGTGATTGAACACTCTTTGGAATGCAAAACAGCTCATTTCCAACAACTGCTACATTTTGCTAAAATATTGAAGCAGTTTGCTTCTCTGGGGTGAGAAGAAGTCAAGAGAAACAAGAGGGGAGAAACGTTAGTCCTGACATGCTTTTACCTTTTACTGGACTTGAGCTCCATGAAAAATCCTCTTAAGGCTGTGGATAATTATTCCCAAGCTCTCAGGAACTTGACTGTAGAACACTACACTCATTTCTTGATTTTAATTCATGCTACCTGAAAAGTAAAGACGGCAAACTTTGCCAAATGGTCAGGCTTTTTCAGTGATAGCGAAGGGGTGGCGTGAGCATCGAAGGGTCCTGTCTCTCTGCTAATGTTATCAGTATTCTGCTCCCCTGGCAAGGGTAATCACTTTGCCCCCAGCAAGTGACTGTCTGTTCGGCTGTATTAAAACCACAGCGCAAGAAGAATGTCACCTATTAAGTTCAACTAGCTGCAGAGTTGATTCTGTATCCACTGGCATTTTGGAAATGATACACCACTGGCCAAATAATTAGACTTTTTCAGATTTTCAGTATTTTATAGAACTATTGTCACACCCGTCTGTGGTCTCCAACAAATTTAAAAGTGTTCTCTAGTCACTAGCTACTCTTTGAACTTTCTTAATTTTTGTAATTCATTCTTGTTCCCAGGGTTTCCTTTTTCCAGGATATGGACTATGGACTTGGTACAGCAGGTGTAAGCTATCAGCTCGTCTAGCCCAGATGAGACATGGAAAGATCATTCGCTCAGAATGATGATTAACCTGATCCAAGTTCTGTTTTGAAGGAATGATGTTTAAATTACCTCTTCTAGCCTGACTACGTGAATTCCTTCATTTCAGGGACGATTAGAAAAAGAAACCTACAAACCCTTTAGCCTTGTGACACTCAGTAGTAATTGAAGGGGAGAAGAAACAGTTTGCAATTTGGTTTGTGGGATGTGATTGATATGCCATAAAAGAGAATTCAGAATGGTGGTGGGCTCAGGAAAAAAAACAAAAACAAAAATAAACAGAATCCCATTTGCTTTAAGATGTATAGAGACTTATTTTCTTTATTAAAGTATTCTTATAAGAAAACATGTATTCGTAAAACATTTTCCTGTGTCAAGTATATGTGCAATCAGAGCCGCCTTGTAAACTATTCTTGTAATATCTCATTATTTTGAAAGATTTATATAATGAACTCTGAATATCTGACCAATAAAACTGATTAAAAAAAAAAAAGAACAGTTGATTTTGTCCACATAGCCTCTTCTGCTGCGTGAAGGACCTATTTAATACAGAAGTTCCCACCTGCCTGTGCTCACAAGTAGTGACGTATGTTTGTTTTTACAGAGTAGATCCTCAGTGCTCAGTTTCCCCTCTTAGGCATTATTTTTCTTTTCAATTTTCCTTATCTAGCCAAAGTCAGATTGTGACAGCATTCTCTAGTTCGAGAGAATACGGTGTTTTCCTCTTGCGTCTGGTAACTTTTTAGATAGCATTATTGAAGCTGTCCGAGGTCCAAGCATCAAGGCAGTGATTCTGGCATTCTGAAGCTGACACTATGCTGAAAAGGAAGTCACAGTGTCCCACTCCCCAAGACCCTTGGACCTTGCACTGGCCCTTCATCCAGAGCTGCCCTTCTGGAAGGATCTCGCATTGATGGCTGGGAAAGGAGGCAGAATTGGGCTATTAAACAGGCCTGGTGGAACCTTTCTCTGTGGCTGACTGTACTTCATGTTCCCTCCAGGGCCCTGTCTGCTTGCCTTTCCTGATGGGACAGGGGGCTGGGCTGTTAGGGGCACAGCATGATTTGCCACTCTGCATACCTCCCACTTCACTTACACAAGGCTTAGCCACTCAGCTTTGTGGAACCAGTTGGGAACATCTCTTGAGTTTATCTCTGGAATGGAGATATCTTGGTGCAGGGAAAATATGAGCTTTGGACTCAGACCTGAGTTGAAATACTTGACCTGTTGCACCTTATCTGTGACATTCTAAACTTTAGTAGTTTCTTGTCTAGAAAAATATAATAAAAATTACCACAAAGTAATTAAGAAAATGAACAGAGAAAATGTGCTGGAAAGATGGCTCAGTTGATAAACTGATTGCCTTATAAGTGTGATGATCTGCTGGGCATGGTGACACACGCCTTTAATCCCAGCACTCTGGAGGCAGAGGCAGGTGGATCTCTGAGATCGAGGCCAGGCTGATCTACCTAGTGAGTTCCAGGTCAGCTGGGGCTACAGGGAGACTGTCTTACAAAGACCAAGAAAAAAAAGTGTGAGGATCTGATTTTGATCCTCAACATCCACAAAAAAAAAAACTGTGGTGGTGCCTGCTTATAATCCCAGCACTGGGGAGGTGAGACAAGTGATCTATGGGGCTCACTGACCAGTCAGCCTTAGCCTAATGGGCAAACTCCAGGTCCCAGTGAGACTCTCAGAAAACAAGGTGGACAGCTCCTGAGGAACAACACCTGAGGTTGGTTTCTGGCCTCTGTGTGCTCTTGTATATATGTACCTGTACACAGAACTACAGTACCTCGTGTAGTGCCTGTGTGGAACATGTGCTAAATAGCAACTCCCCAGATGACTGAAGGGCCTGCCGCTTACAGGAACAGGACAGGGAGCAATAAAGACACAGTGACTCCTTTGGAGCAGGGATCAAGGGCTCTCTGCTTATATCTTCTGTATAGATGCTGAACAAATGCGTGATTTCTCAAGGGAGAAACTAAGAGTCATGTCAGGTGCAGTAACAAAATACAAAGCACTGCAGTAGGCGTCAGAATAAGGACTAGTCCATCTCACCTGTGCTGACAGATGGCTTCCCTGGGCCACCCACCTTCAGGTAACATCCCAGAAGGGGTGAGCAGTTCTTCCCACAGCACCTGTCTGAGAACACATGACCTGGCCACCAGTAGCAGTAGTGCCTTTCCTGCATTAGAAAGATCTAGCAAAAGGAGCTGAGGTGCTGGAGAATGTGTGGGACAGCTGCTTACACACCTGACTTTTCCTCGGGTTGCCTTTCCCCCAGATGCTTGGGCAGGTTGAAGAAAACAACAGAGTGAGTTTTAAAAACAAATAGCCACAAGATGACAATAAATGCATCTATATCTCTGCTGTAGAAATTCTTCAAGGGCAACAAAAATTCATCTTAAGAGCATTGGGAGACATCCCTGGACCATACCCACAGCCGTGAGGGGGTGCAGGAAGAGGAGAGGGAGGGTGCTGAGGGGAGGCAGGCTTCTTTGTTTTCCAGAGTGCTAGAAAGGGTCATGTGCCAAGGCAGGTGGACATAAAGTGGGGAGCCCAAGACAGGGACTTTTGAAGGCCTTGTAAAAGGAAGAGTTAGAGATCCTTGCCTTGTCTGTCATGTCCAAGCACTCTGCACCCTTGTGTTCAAAACACGGTGAATGGACCCTAAAGAAGTCAAACCAGAGAGATTCTCAGCTTTCAATACTGAGCTGTGGGGTGCGGGGCTGAAGAATGCATAACAGAGCAGCTTATGACTGCGTAGCCACAGAGTCAGGGTGCACCCTGGGAATGGGGTCAGGAGCTCCTCATTTGGAAAGGCATACCATTCAGTCCTGATGTGCAGGGGTTCCTAGGCAAAAGTATTATCGGACACTTTGTTGATGGCTTTACAATTGTCCCTATTGGGTGGTTGGTGAAAGATATACCAGTCATGCCTGCCAAGGGTCAGGGAGGGGAGAGTTTGAGACTGTCCTTGCACCCCACTAAGGGTGGTTGTATGTAGGACTGGCTCAAGGGGAGTGGAGGGTTGGTAAACTTGAGAGCAGAAAACCAGCAGGCATCCAAATCAAGATGGCCTTGGGAAGAGATGTGGAGCTACTTGGATGAAAGGGAGTCAGAACTCAGAATAGCAATCACTTCACTGTGAAGCCATCTCTAGAGTCCACATCTAAGTTCTCCCAGTGCTTCTGGGTGTGAGATGGGAACACAGTGACCATATCTAAAGGGCCAAAAATGCAGCTAAGACAGGAGCTCCAATGCTCTCTTCCGGCCTCTGTAGGCATTGCATACATGGGTTCACTTACATGCAGGCAAAACATACACATAAAATTAAAATAAATAATTGAAAAAATGAAAAAGATAGATTAGCAAAAAGCCCCATTTAAAAAAAAAAAAAGAAAGTGCATGAAGTTGTTCAGGAAAAAGTGATGGGGAGATATGGGAGGAGTTGGAGGGGAGGGAGTGGGCGTGGATTTGATCAAAATACCTTATATGCATGTATGACATTCTCAATAATTTTTTTAAAAAGTTAAAAAAAAAACAAAAATAAAAAATGTTCAAAGAAGATATGAAAAACTAAACGAAGACTGTGAAAGCAAGTTGAATAAAATAAAACAATTCAAAACATGTAATTAGAATGCAATACAAAGATATAATCTCTGAAGAAAAGCCAAACTGAAATAAAGCTTGAAATCAAAATCTCAGGACAGGAACTTAAACCAAAAAAAAAAAAAAAAAAAAAACCTTAGAGGAAAGAAGCAAAAAAGAATGACCTTATGAGTAAAAAATAAACAAATAAATTGGTTTATCTGGGCCAACTGCATGGTCTTAAAACACCCAAAAAGAAAGTGTAACCAAAGATTAAAGGGATCAATATAATTCTTTACGAGCCCATGTGTATAGCTAAAGGCTACATAGCAAGAAACAATGCCAGACAGGAGATACCTTCCTTTGAGAAGTTGTCCAGGGTGGCCCAAGAGACTCCCAGACAGTAACCCAGCATAGAACTGAGAAAATGAACAGCAGACCCCAATCTTATCTAAAGGAATATTGACAACCGATTGCTGCTAGGTGAGGAAGAGCTGATCTTCCTAAAATGAGGAACTCTAGATAGGCTGACTAGACTCAGCAGATGGATAAGCACTGGGGAACAGATGGGGTCACTGACAACACAGTGGACAGTAACAGAGAACAGAGTATATGGGCTCCAGCGGGGGGCGGGGGCATGGGAGGGTGTCACTTGGGATGTGGGTATATAGATGAATAAGAATGTTTGGGATGTTCTGTATGAAATATGCACACACATGCACAAATCAATAAATAAAAAAAGTTATATTTGAGGAAGAAGCATAAAAATTGCTTCATATTAATTAGTAAATGTGAAAAACATTACCATCGAAATCTACCTGATGACTTTATATCCATGCTCAGGTGCCAAGGATCTCAGAAAGTAACTGACTGTGACTAGTAATAATCAGATATATAGAG